CGTGGGATCTCCGCCCTTGATCATCTCTGTCGCAGATTTAACCCTTCACAGCCATCATTCACCCTTTTAGCTCTATTTAGATTACCAGAATCCCGACAATCCATCCTGATATGCCCCTCTCTTTCCTCACAACATAACACAATGCCCTCTGACTACAATTTCTCATTACGTGGCCTGTTGGAATTTAATTTGAGAACAACAATTTTAGAGAACAGTGCTAGACTGTTCGCTTCTGTCGAACTCTCTGCCTCGATCGGAGAGGAACTCGGACGAAGCTTTGCCGAAGGGCAAAGATTCGTCCGGGGAGGTAGACAGGCCCTGAACCCGTTTAGGCGGGTTCAAAGGGAATATTTTTGGCCGAACCTACGGGCTTGGACTACCCACAATAAACCGGCCTTGTGCCACATACACCCTTGTGGGTGGGTTGTTAAATATTAACAATTTTACAAGTTCACATTCTCGCTATTTTTTCTATCCTCACTCCAACCTCTTTAATTTCAAAACCGGCTCCCAAGGCCTTGATTCTTATCAGAGATAAGAATATATTTTCTGACTAACGAGAGAGCTGGAAAATAAAAACGAATTCCACCATCATTATTCTTTCCATGGAGCAATAAAGTCTGGGAGAAACCTCACAGCTTCTTCACTTCAACCTGTCTTCAGTACCTTCGAAACCGGCTCCCAGGGCCCTGATTCTTATCAGAGATAAGAATGTGTTTTTGACCAATAGAGGAGCCAGGAAATTTGTACAACGATTTTGGAGGGAAAAGTCCCCGGTCCATCGGAGCCTACCAAAACTCCATAAATTTTGAGAATCTTGTCTATTTTGCCAGTGAGATTTCTGCCCACCGTCTATGAGGTCGATATTAGGGAGCTCCAGAACCTCTTTCACCAAAGAAGAACTATGAAAGGGTTGTCAAGAACGAACGTCGGTCCACTATTCAAGACCAATCCAAAGTTGCATCCCTTCACCACTCCTTCTTACGAGCCCACTGGACTTCTGTCGTCGACCTACGAACTCACTCAAATTGCAGGATTCCTTCATCTGCGAACAATTTTCCAACTCTACAAGAACTGTGAGTGTTTCTATCTGAACCTTAACAATAACATCTAATCGCTTAAAGAACTCTTTAGGTGCTCAAAGTAATATTTTGAGCAAGCCTTAGTTAAGAACATTTTCTCTTTTCCCTTTCTTTCTCTACTAATCGTCCTTTTATCTCTTTACCTTTTTTTCTGTATATGTTGTAAATAAACACTTTCTTCTTTTGTTGTTACTCACCGAGCAGGAGTTTTTTTCTTTATTCGTACGCGCCTAAAAGAGAGAGTTTGTCGACTCTAATCTTCCTGTTTTACTTGCGTTTTATCGCAATTTTTAAACCTCAACCCAATTTTTAATCTCAACCCTTTGATGCTGGAAAGCCGGGACAAATTTCCTACCAAGCCCTCTCTACCAGGGGATGCAGCACTGGCGTGTGACGATACATACTCTCCTTGCATTTTACAAGACATTTCTTGCCCCAGTTCACAACTGATTGAAGGTTATTTTCGAGATCAGTTACCAATTTGATTTCATCGACCCCCCTCAGACTTATTATTAGGACAAGATAGATGTGTCATCCGAATCGATATATAGATATGGGAACTTACATGAGGAATGTCGTTGATGAAAATAATGAACCGAGTGGATTCAAGAATAGAGGTTTCACCTGCATTAATGCAAAATGATTTAGAGGAGTGGCCGTTGAAGTTAACTCTCATTTCGCAGTTTGATAAGGAAGACTGAATTAAATCAAATGAACAGCTCGATACACCATGACCCTTCAACATGTGAAGAAGACCAGCATTCCAAACCCTGTCAAATGTCTTCCAGATATCCAAAGTAACATTCCGATCTTCGCCATTCTTATTCTTATCTAAAGCTTGCCAGGCCATTCAGCAATAACCGTCAACACATCAGCGGTTGGACTAGAGAAGCGAAAGCCTTATAGTTTGTCTGTCATCAAAGCCTAGACAGCTCTGTACGCTTTGCTATTTACCTAGTGGTTGACGTGGATGGGAAAAAGAGACTGATTCATGCCTCTCCCAGAGTCATGAATACGAGTTCTACATTCAGTAACGACGCTATTCATATAGGTAAATAGACTCAGTTTATAAGATTCAATGCTAAAGCATTTTGGTTTACCTTCTCTTCTGCTTACCTAATTAGTATGCACCGCGCTTGGCTGGTCATGTGACCCTTAAAAGCCACTAAGTGAGGTGTCTAGTGAGTCAGTAAAGAAAAACTTATAATATTTGGTAGCCTTGCATTTTCAGGGAATAGGTGAATGCATGTGTCCTGTTCATAGAGAAACAAATAAATAAAAAATAATTATTATAATGCCATGGTATCGTATCCATAAAAAATAAAAATTAATTATAGTGTCAAAGATAATTATAATAAAATAATTATAACAATTATAATTATCATTAATTCACTTATTCTGAACCAATGCGAATCGACCCCACTTTTCTCCTGTACACATACAAAAATGCGACATTCTCACTATCGGACAAGCAGTTCACACGGGCAGGCCGTTAACACCTACGTCAAAGAAAATTTAATTTTCTTTTCCTTTTTCAGGCAACATTTATCTTTTCGCACTCAACAAAAATTCGAGGTAAAAAAAAAAACGGACACATCTTGTAGTTTTCCAACTAAGTTATCTGGACATTCAATTATTAAAAAAAATTATTAAAAAAACTAAAATATTAAAATATATATACAAGAAAGACTGTATACTCTTTGCTTATACTTTATCTTATCCTTATTTCGGATTCAGAACCATATTTGATCTACATTTGAACCCAAACTCACGATTTTATTCAGTATTACTGTCTCTCGTGTCACCAACACCACATGACAACATATACCAAATGCTTATTATAACAGCATCAACAACTAAAATGGATATCACATATAATTCGAAGAGAAATTAATAGCATAATCAAAGTGCTAACGTTCCATACTACTTCAAATAAAAGCTGAGGAAGGAACCCCCCCCCCCATCAGTATTGGAAAGAGTGATAACAGCAACTGGACTTGAGAAACCAATTTTCCTGAAATTTTTTCATAAGATAGAGAGTTTATAAATTTCAACCAAAAGTAGCACCTTGCTGTCCGATCAATGGGTAACGAATGTTTCCTTATAAGGAAGCGGCTAATAATACTATTACCATTACTATTACCAACATGCCTAGTACTAAGGCGTTTGACATAGAGAGAGTTGAGAAGTTAGCCGAGGAGATTGATATAGTAAGTTGCGGCCCTACCGGAAACCTATAAAAGTATTTCCTGGGGATCCGTCTCCGAGCCAGTTTGGCTAAAAGTAGTCGAGTCAGAGATTAAAGCTGACATAATTAGGCAACTTCTGGACACACTTATCATGCACAAATATGTTATTAAAAATACTTTATGTCTCATCTCATCGGAATGTCAATAAATAAAAAAAATACCAATATAATGAGATCACGGGTGCCTCAACGTCTCGGCCTTATGCCAGACTAGGCTTTATCTCCTATGATTTACCTACTCGTAACAGCGTAACTTAAGATAGTTGGTTTGTTCCCACTGGCACCAACCGCTCGTGTTCAAGCCTGTATAAAATCAGCATTTTGAATGCTGATTTTCAAGGTAAGCAGACCCTTCCTATTCGAAAGATTGAAGCAAATTAATCTTCCAAATTCCCATTCCCCACCCCATTTAGTTCTTTGTCGAATTTAGTTAGGCTTCTTAATAAATATCAACCATAATAATTGGCGACGTGTTTAGTGTTTTTCAGCGAGATGGTTTTTGCCACGGAACACTCAAAGAGGATTCGTGTTCGTTCAGGAATTTGATGACATAGTGAGTTCAATCTCTGGTCCATGCAGTACAGACTTGGACTCATTAGAATCGAGGCGAGCAATAACTGAGCAGTACTAAATAAGAACTAGACGAGATATATCTCTAGAGACAATAGAATACATGGACTGCGGAACGAGAACAATAAAAATGGGTTGTTCGAAATTACCTATCCAGATTGACAAACACCTGATTAAAACCTGAAGGCTAAGGCACAACAGCCAAAACGTTGTGATAATAACAACAAAGATGAGGACAACAGTCCACGTAAATAATTATAACTCCCCATCCCAGAAAGTCAGAGAGATAAATAAATCTTTTACAGTGTAACCCGGATATAAGAGAGTTGTCGGGACCGGAGAAGAAGTCTCTTATATCCGGGTTTGGTCTGTGTAACCCGGATATAAGAGACCCGGATATAAGAGAGATTTTCTCTGGTCCCAAATTAGAGCCTGTGTTAATTAATGTATACATATAGACCAAACCCGGATATAAGAGACTTCTCCGGTCCCGACAACTCTCTTATATCCGGGTTACACTGTACATTAACACAGGCTCTAATTTGGGACCAGAGAAAATCTCTCTTATATCCGGGTTTCTCTTATTTCCGGTTCTCTTATATCCGGGTTACACTGTATTTTTAAAATTCCTGGACCCTCGAAAAGGAAAACGAAAAAAAAAAAAGTTCATTCAATTTTTGACCTGTTTGTTTGAATTGTCTGTTGAAGTTGGGAAAATCATTTCACTTTCTACGATGTTTTTTTTTTTTTTTTTTTGTGAAATAAAAAACAGTAAACAATCTTTCTTGATTTGAGCCAGATCTGTAATATCATAAACGTGAATCTACATAATGAATGAAAATTACAATCCGGCGGTGTAAATGCAGTTTTGACCTTCTCTAAAAATAAAATAACTTTCAATAAAATATTTACTATTTCTTTTATGAAATTTGTAACTTTCTAAGAACTTAACACATATATTATTTTTTTTTCATTATATTATTTATTTTAGCTGTAATATTATTGATTAAAATCAACTTCTTGGAAACATTATTTGAGTAAAATTTTACACCTGGAATAGTTTTCAGACGACACAATTTTAGGTCTGTATCCGGTCCAACATGGCGAGGACGGTAAGGTTGAAGTTTTTGACATTGAGATTGAAAAGTAGTTGGATAAAAAAACTAAAAGATCTATTTGCGCTTGATTTTATAATAATATTTATTTTACTTGTCTCTCTTCTGTAACGATTTGCAATTTTTATTATTAATTTTTTTTTTCATTTAATAATCAACTAAAATTTAATTTTTTAACCTCATTTTTCTCATATTTTTTTTAAGTTCATATTGCAAAAACAAAATACTTAAACTTTATTTAATAATGCAAGAAGTAAATAAAATCTAAAAAAGAATACCCTGATTCATTTGGTTTTAGGCAAAGAGAAACTAAGGTTTTCGATTTGCTCTTAGCAAAAAAAGGGATGAAAGAAATGTTTGAATCCTGTAAAAAGCAAAAAAATTCACCTTTTTCTAAACATTTTTTTTTTCGTATATTTTTTATAAAAAGTAATTGCTTACTGTTTTTAGATGCTTGTGCTCTTTTTTATGTTAACTGGTAAAATTCACCGATAGATATTTAAACTGAAACTTTTACCGTACGTCGTGGGTATAGAAAAAAGTTAAAAAAAAAAATGATAGTTTTTTAAGTAAAAAATAATGTTTAGTTTGAAGAAAAGACAATAATTTATGAAGTAGGAAGTGTCTTACTCTTAACGTGCATTTTAAAAGAAAAGAATTGGACAAGTTTAGTTGCATTATCTATTTATTTTGACTTGAAATATTTTATGGTTGAAGTTCATTTTTTTCTTTTTATTATTTTGTTTTATTGATGTTATTAAATTTATTTTGAAAAAAAACATTTCAGTTTGTATCTGCCCAAATAATCTTTAAGTTTACTGTCAACAAGCTAAATCTCTCCTTACTGGAAATAACCCACTTAAATGGTGTTTTAGTTTTGTCAAACTGAAAAATAGCAAGATTTTTTTTCTTCTTCACACACACACGGCCCCACAATCTTCCAGAAATTTAAAGATTGAAGAATTAGCCAGAACAATTGGCGGTGAGGAGGGTGACAAAATTCAGTTCTGTTCATAAGTCAGACAAACAATATAATTACATCAATAGGTTTTCACTTTGATTGCATATAAAAATTTTTAACAATCTCTTTAAGTATTATTTTAGTAAAATGAATAATATGTCTTTCCTAGTTTGAAACATTCCCTGTATGTGTGTATGTATGTGTGTATATATATATATATGTGTGTGCATATATATATATATATATATATATATATATATATATATATATATATATATATATATTATTGTATTTTATTTATATTTATTTAAGTATATTTCTGTTTGTATGAATGTGTGTATATATTTGTATGTTAGACTATATGTATATTGCTGTGTGTTGGTGTTTGAAGGTATATTTATGTATCTATATGTTAGTTCGTTTATATATGTATTTGGTTGAATGTTGTTGTATTTTTATGTATGCATGTATATATGGGTAGTTGTTATTGTAGATAGATATATTTATTTATATATATATGTTTATTTGTAGATTTGTATGTATGTATGTGTGTATATATATTTATGTATGTTTTGTGTATATATATATATATGTGTGTGTTGGCCCCTATTATGTATGAGTTTGTTTTGTGTATGTGTGGGTATGGAAACTTTGGTATATCATGACTGTTTTTATATATCTAAGTATGTATGCATAAAAGTCTATGTGTATATATGTGTGTGTATTTAGGTTTATATGTATATGTGTATATGTGTACTTGTTATCATAGATATGTATATATACGTATATGTTTATATTTATATATTTATTTGTATGTATTTCTGTATGTATATGTATGTATGAGTATATATTTATGTGTGTTAATTGGTTTTTGTTGCCGTGTATGTATATATATATATATATGTATATATTTGTGGATTTCTTTATCCTGTTTTTCTTTGCCAAATATATAATGAAACTATTATCAACTTATATGATTAATAATATATATATTTTTATTGATATTTATGGTTTTAGAATTTTCGTTTTAATATATTAAATAATATTATTTTTAAACATTTTTTATCTTTTGTATATTTGCTCCCTTAAGTTATAATTCAATAAGTGGTTAGCATTTATTTAAGTCTGAAATATTTACTGGTTGTGATTTCTCAATGTCTATGCCATTGTCTGTGGATGTATGTATGTGTATATATCGGTGTCTATGTGTATGTAGAGTGTATTCACATTTAACTCTGTGTGTGTATAAGTGTTAGTTTCCACGTCTCCTTTTTTCATAAAGGGCTGTAGAGATGTTCATGTATTCCCCCCACCTCTCCTTTTTTTTTTTTTTTTTTTTGTGTGTGTGTATGTTTGTGTGTGTGTGTGTGTGTGTATCTAATTATGTCTGGGTGCTTATGTATTATAATCTGATTGTGTTTTTGTTGTGTCACGCGTGAGTTTAAGACCATATTCACAAACTTTAAAATAAAAACAGAAAAAGAAAGGGAAAAAAAAAAAAATATATATACATGTATTATCAAATGACCGGATGTATTGTAGCGTCTTGTCTTGTCGAACGTAATTTCAATGAAGAAATGAATTGAATAAACATATATATTTTTTCTTTTCTCAATAATTTTGTAGTTTTTAAACTTAATAGTGATTAAATTTGGATTTTAAAAATTGCCAGTTTTTAATTTTAATATTAAATTTTATCATATAAATTTATAATTATTAGTTAGTATAAATTATTTTTAATATTACACGTATTTAAAGATCTGAATAGCTATTATAGCAGGATTTCATTGTCAAGCTTTTGAATCTTTCTATACTTCGTTTTTGATTGGTTATTCTAGCTTTTGTAACAATGTTTCCCCCTAGTGTAGGATCGTTAATTAATCTGAAACTTTTAAAACCATTTATTTTATTTTCAACATCATCACTTGATAAGACACAGAGTGTGTTGAAACAAAATGGCTATTTTTGTAGTGGTTTTATAACATACTTATGTTATAAATTTATTTATAAAAATAATTATATATATATATATATACACACACACAATTTGCTACACTACATTAGAACTGTTTTTATAAACAAATATATATTGTGAGTAATAATAATTATTACAATAATAATAATAATAATATTATGTATATATAAGGCAAATGACAATGGAAAAAAATTCTGTGTTATGCATTTCATCCTCTAGAAGGTCTTCATTAAGCTAAAGTAATATTTTTGTTGATGGAATTATATATATGTAGAAAGGGAAGGGAGAGATATAAAAACACAAGCACCCACTGAAGCTGAAGAATGCTGAAATTGCAATTATTTCCTCCCCCCCACACACACACACTTCGCTTTTATATCTTGTAAACACAAAAAAAAATTGCAACATATCGGCCTTCTTCAGGTGGTTGGAATGTCAAACTGAACCCTTTGTTTCTAGTTCCACATGTCATGTCTAATGGATGTCAGTTATCAGTTATCTCCTGTTAATTCCCCTCTCCAAGTTCTCCACCGCCTTAATCAGGTACTGAACTCACACTCTTTGGGTAACTGGATCTAACTAACTGTTGTAATAAATATGCTGACAAAGATGAGGACAATAGTTTGAATAATGTAAATGGAGTTCTATTAATTCAGACACAAAGAAAAAAGGAATAGTTCTAATATTAAAAGAGAGAAAGCAAAAAAAAAAAAGGGAAGAAAGACAAAAATTTCAATATAAGATTTTTTGGGGGGGAAAGAGAAAGAAAGATAGACATGGGGAGGAAAGAGGAAAAAGAGAGGGGCAAAGAAAGGTAAGAGGGAATTAAGCAGTCAACAGGATGACCCAGGAAAAGGCTTTTTCTTCTGGAACTTGACAAATTAAAAAAAATCAGGTGGAGGATGGGATCATATTCAAAATAGATACATTGAAATTGTCTAGTCATCTTATATATATATATATATATATATATATATATATATTTGGTTGGATAGATGTGAGTTTGTGACCATGGGTTTCACGCTTTAGCGATCGTCAGATATATTTGTAGGTCTGATGAATTGGATCATATTTACGATTCCAATGGAATAAAATAAATTATAACCATGGAATATTAGTGTTTAAGCCTTTTTATTATATCCTTAGTCTGTTCTGGACATTGAGTTCTACCTGGATTCTATCCTCTTAGAATTTTTTTTATTCAAAAAATATGTATGTGTATACATGTATGTATATATATATTTATATTTTGCATATGTATGTGTATATTTACCACTAATATCTATCTATCTATCTATATATATATATATATATATATATATATATGTGTGTGTGTGTGTGCGTGTTTCCTGTGTTTTGACACAATCAGGCAAACTATGTGATGACTGTATGAAACTTTTAATTGTGGCCAGCTACTGTTCACCAGGAATTTATTTAGAAAGGCTCTGCTGTTTAATATGGCATTGAACTCTCTTTCTTTAGTGTGCCTTTTTATCAGAATCCCTTAGGAGTTGCTTACTTTATATTTTATTGAGAAAAAAAAAATATTTATCTGTACTGTTTTAAAAAAAATAATTGCAATTGCCTTGGTTATATTTTCTGCATATGTAATCTCGGATTTTTATATTTGCAATGAACTCTGTTTTCATATGTAAGAAAGAATTCTGCTTTTTAAATCCTTAAAAGTAGAAATATCCAAAGAAAGCTAACACAAAAGGAATAAGCAAATAAGAACTCAAAGTGAGTCAAGGGAAGTCTGTTGGAGTCAGTCGAGAAGAATTTCTAATGACGTCACAGTGAGTAGTCTAAGCGAGACATAATATTATATCCGCTAGGAGCAAGTTACAGCAGTCTATTAAATCGTCTCTAGAACAAAACATTTCATTTGAATATTTAATAAAAGGGGTGATTGGAATAAGGATGTTCGTAATGAATTTTCTCTAAGAAGTATAATCATCCTGTTCCATCTATTTGAAATTCACACATAAGTGGACTATATGCCGAACATGTGAGCCAAACCTATTAAATATAGACAGGAGTTCTTGATTCTGGTTATGACATCAGATTTGCAACTCTTGAGAATGTGATAACAAGTATCATCAACTAATTGCTCATGTGTATATTTGGAGAAAAATTCAACTCAGACATCCATATTACAACCACTCCTTTAAATATTCAAATGAATTTTTTTTTTCATTTCTTGGAATATTAAATAAAAGGGGTGGTTAGAATAATGATGTCTTGGGTGATTTTTTTTTTTTTTTTTTTTTCAAAAACAAAAATAATTCATCCTGGCCCATCTGTTTGAAACTCAAAGGTGTTTATAATTACCAGGGAGTGGAGGTAAAATGATTTCTATATCCATTGTTATCAAGTTATACAAATGAAGGCCAATGTATTACAGAGGCAAAGGCTAGGATTACACTGCAGATCTAATGAGACACTTTTTCTTTTGAATCATTTCACCCCCAAGTAAGGCAATAAAAGACACAATGGTTTACTAAGTATGTTAAGAAAAATAAAAGAACAGAAATAAAGAAGATAATAGATTACAATTGACATTGCATTTAAATTTTTGAAGATTAAAGTTGACTGGGAGACAAGAAGCCAAAAGAGAATTCCACAAGCGAGAAGTGCAATAGAAGAAACTATTAGCATAGAACTTACGGTTGCATCTAGCCATTTTTCAACTATACTTACTACAGCTACCACAATACCTCATAGTCTCTATGAGGAAAGTTCATCAGAGCAATTACCCTGAAAGTATTTATAGAAAAGGCACAGAGAAGCTACGTTACAGTGGTGGGAAAGTGACTAAAGGTGAGATGCCTGGTCAGAACCAATAATATTGCAGTTTCTTCTATGGATTTTATCAAGAATGTCTTGGTGTCAGTGTATTCTCAACATTCATTTTATCATCATCATCATCATATAAAAAAATTTTTCACTTTTTTTTTTCAATGGCATTACTCTTGAAATCTTGAAAAAGAAATTTTTTTTTTATTTCATTTTTGTAGGTACAGAAGCTGCAGCTCCTTGCAGGAACTGCAATGGCCTCGTCTTTGGCAGTGCCTATTGTGTATGCAGTAGGAAACGCAGAGGATAAGATGAAAATTATAGACGTATGTAAAACCTTTGACTTGAAATTTTATCTCTTAAATAAAAAGTCTTTTATCAAATTGGAAATATTCTGTTCTAGGGTTTGTCCTGGTCATGGGCTCCAGATTTTTGTCAAGCTCTGGAATAATTTGATGCACCATCACCCCCAGAACCATCCTGAAAAATTTTAAACAGTTCTGAAATCAAAATTTTTTTTTAACTTTATCACTTTCGTTGTTAATTGCATAATAAAAACATCATTAAAGTGTTTAGTAAATAAATTTAAAAAGCTAAAATATTTAACATCTGTCTGAGACAAGATATTGTAACAATTTACATAGATCAGACTGTTCTAATCTTTATTGCCATATTCACAATGTTTCAGCTGTTGTGCACTCCAGGCTTCTTCAGGAAATTTCAAACCGTACCTTTTATTTAGTCCACAGGGGGCAGATTGTTCTAATTTCACATGTCATGAATTATATTAAACATTTTGTATTAATCTCCTGGTAGTATTAGTAACATCTTGTACCAATGTATTGGTATTTGGTTGGTATTTTTGACATTTTACATTGATTGGTTATTGTTATTAACATCTTATATAAAGAATCTTTAGTCAACAGTTGCATATTAATTTACCAAGTAATTCTATACATTTAAATTATTTACTGGTTTCTTAAAGAAGCTATTTATTGAGAGGTTTGACTGTATGTCAAAGCAGGCATCAGATGGTAATGTCTAATCATAGTTGTATATCTGTATCTATTTGGTAGGAGGAGTACTAATGTCTTCATCTTTGTGCAGTCAGCTGGTATTCCATTTAATCTGGGACTGTTTTTTATATACATACTCTTTGTATTAGATATAAGTTAGATTCTTTAAGAATGGTTTCAGAGAAGGATGGCAATGTAATGTTTAAAGCATGTGTTTATAATTGGTAATAATGAAATTATTGAGCTTTCAAACTATTTTCTCCTTAAGAATTGTTTTTTTTTTAATTAGGGTGGCATTAGTAAAATCAAAGTTGTGGCCAGCATCATTTCTATGCAATGAGAGGCATTGTTTGTCCAAGTGCAAATCTCTCTTGTGTTTGCGAATGCAGGTTTTTCGATCATGGCTTTCCTATGAGGTCACCTCTCAGTGGTGTGATCTTGCTTGACTTTTTCTAGAATTTTTAGAATCAGGTCCATTTAAACACATCATACCAAGACTAATGTTCTGTTATCGATCATGTGACAGTGTTAATCTTAATCCCCATACTGACCTCTTCATTGAATTCTTAATCCCCTTATTTATCTTTCTTTTCTTTAGGATGGTAACAAGGCACAAGGTAAAAAAAAAAAAAAAATTAATTAAACAATAAGGTCACAGGGAGAATTGGTCTCATGTTTTTTTTTTTTTTTTTTTTTTTTCAACAGCAATCATCTGGTGTTAAAAGAGACAACTGCTTAATAAAACATACTTCATAATGAATAAAGAGCTATTTCTTTTCAGAATCTGTCTGACATGTCTACTATTTATCCATATTTACAGTATTACTGCCACATATGGTCTGGTGCTCCTGCTATATATTTAGAGATTCTCGATAAAATCTAAAGAACTTCAGCAATATTATTGGTCCTGAACTGGCGTCTTGGCTTCAGTCACATTTCTACTGCAGGAAATTGCTTCCTTGTAGCTTTTCTAAAAATATTTTCATGGTAATTAGATGAGCTCTTCAATATGGTACCTAGGCACCTAGATTTTATGAATTTAAGCACAGGATTAGATTGACAATAAGGTCTCATCAATTTGCAGTTGAATTGGCTAGATGTTAACTGCAAGTTCTATGCTAACAGTTTCTTTTCTCACACTTCTTGCTTGTGGAACACTCTTCTGGCTCCACACTTTATTCAGTCAATTTTATTCTTCAAAAATTTAAATAAAATGTCAATCATTATCTACTGTCTTCCTTATTACTCTTCTCTTGTTCTTGCTCCTTACTAATGTTTCTGTTTTCTAATTCTTCCACACTCTGTAACTCCTTCTGTCTTAGTGGCTTTACTGCCTTGCATGGGGTGATTTTGATTAAATTAAAAATAAATCTGCCATTTTAGTGATCTTTCAACATTTCTGATGTGACGTCATGTGATTGGTGATCTTATTTGGAAGACATCCATAAATCAAGGATACATTTTTAATATCAGTTTTTGATTCATTATAAGACCAGCCTTGACATCATCGTATTTTTATCTAATTTTTGTAAACTTCAAAAGCTTACTTTAGACCAGTGGTTCCCAAATGGTGCGGCACATCTCATAGATATGGTGGAAAAGGGTAGTGAGCGAGGCGGAATGATTGAATGGCAATCAAAGATTTAGAAATAGTTTCAAAAAATCAATATACCAAAAATAAATATTATTTCAAAATTTAAAATATTATTGTGGATTACTTATAATTGCATGCATGAATCCCAGTATAGATAGTTATGAATTATTATTGACTGATTTTATCATTGTGATATTTTTGCATTATATCAAGTATTAAGAATATAGTAATTAGGGTCCACAAATTGGAGGACAGAGTTATTATGATAATTTTCTGATTTTGAAACCGCGATTATTTCCCTTTAACCCCTTTTTTTTTTTTTTTTTTTTTTTTTGTTAGTTTTTTTATTTATTTTTTTCTTCTTTTATTTTATATTTTTAAATGTTCTTTTTATCACGTAAATTTTTAAAAATAGTTCCTATATAGATAGGACCGATTTGTGAAATATTTGGTTTCATGTTTTCTTGCTCCTTTTGACAGAATTTTAATATAAAATCATATTCTGGATTTAGGCTAAAATAAAAATCCTAAGTTTGAAAATTTTTTTGTGCAAAATATTTTATTTTTCACAAAACAATGAGATTGTATAGGAAAGTTTAAAGCAAACGAACAGTATATGAATATTACTCTGCATCTGATAAGTTGACATCATGGACCTGCATTACAAAAGCCTTGATCAGTACAATTTAAAGGTTGGAAGGATTTGTGTGTAATTAGTATAACATTTCAGACAAATTTAGAAGTATCTCTAACTTAACAGAGATTGAAAAATAATAAAGAAATAGGCTTTTATATATATATATATATGTGTGTGTGTGTGAGTGAGTATCTACTAAAAATAACATTTAATTCCATGGTTCCTAAATGATGCCGCATGCCTCATAGGTGCAACAGAATGATTGAAAGACAATCAAAGATTTAAAACAGTTTCAAAAAATTCACATACCAAAAATAAATATTATTTTGAAATTTAAAATATTATAATAGATTACTTGTAATTGCATGTAAAGAGTTATAAATAATTATTGACTGATTTTATCATTGTGATATTTTTACATTATATCAATTATTAAGAATATAGTAATTAGGGTCCACAAATTAGAGGAAAGAATTTCCAATGATAATGTTCTGACATAAAATCTCCGGTTATCTCCCTTTAACCCTCTCTCTGTTTTTTCTTTTTAAATGTACTTTTTATCAAAGTTTCGGAACCACTGCTGTACATCATCTCAAACCCCTAGTGATATTTGACTCTGAAATATTTCTTCACCCACTAAGGATTCATATTGTGGAGAATTGCCAGAGGTTCCTAGTAATATTTCTTGGGAACTTTGGTATAAACAAACAGAATCAAAGGTATAAACAAATAATATGTTTGTTTATTTGGAGCAAGTCCTTTGTAATTCAAGTTGGCAAAAGTTCTTTCAACTGGGTAGTTGATAGTCAGACTTTGGTAGTAGTCATCATTTTGTTGGCAGCTGTGGAGAGTGTGGTTACTTTGGAAATAGGTGTGGGGGGGGATATCAATCAGCAATGTATTCTCATCCCTCAGAAGGGTCAAAAGTGTCTTAAGCAGATGACTGCTAGTTTCACACAACACGTTCGGCTGGCCTCTCAGCTTTCCCTTTATATACACTTTAAAAAATGGCTCCAGACTGCTTGGCTCAAAGCTTTGTTTCAGCTAACATCAAGTCTCTTGTTTTGTTCATTGGCCAAAATTCTCTTATTTTCCAGCATTCCTTTCTTTTTCATTTTATTTTTTTATGCGTGGAGTCTCTCTTAATTTGGTAGATTTCTAGTCACAATAACTAGACACTGGGCCAGCAAACTTCCACCATTTTGCATCCATGTTCAGTCGTCTTCTGCCTCATTTTATTTGAGGATTTGCCTTCTCATTACTTGAGAGAGAAGTAGAGTGAAGATTAGAAAGAAAGAGAGAGAGAGAAAAAAAGATAAGGGTTTTAAAGGAAAACAAATGCATTTTAATTTTATTTTTTTTTATTTTTATTTTTTTTTAATAATTTATTTTTTTTACATTTGCGTTCACCACAATAGTCCCCTATTTTGGATGTCTGGTCTAAATGAGAAATGTACAGAGAACAAAGTTGATAATGGGGTGTGTGAGGAATAGAAATAAATATGACAATGCCTGGATTAATGCAAATTAATATGGTTCATTTTATTTTTCATTTAATTATCAGAGGAAGGTACTTCTTTAAAAACATCATGGGTTAAATTACATCTCACTTATTATGAACTATTGGCATCTGTCTTCTAAGCTATTTTTAATGCCACTTTTATTTATTTTTTTATATATATATCTAGGAGCATTTATATTTTGTTTAGTACTCAGACTGTTCAACAGATGGCAGAGTAGTTCAAAATAGAAGAAAAGAATTTTAGCAACAAGATATGTTTTATATCTATTTTGATAGCCCAGAGAAGTGTAACAACTTCACATATCATTAATTCCATAAATATTTGGAAGACCTCTAGGGACAGATCAAGCCAGATTGTCATATCTCACTGATATTTCTAAATATGGGATCTTGCATCCAAATACACCTCTCCACTACGTCCCTTAAAAATGTTTGCTTTTTTACTAATACCCCATTCCTTCTTGTACCATTTATTGACACAAATTGTTAAATAGTTTACTTGCTGTTTCCCAACTTGTTTCTTTGATATGTCTTGTGAGTGTAAAATTCTCCAAGCCCTCTTTTTTCATGAAAAATTTCAATTGTCTCTTTCTAAGTATAAGTATCCTTTTTGTTTCCATTGTCCTTAAAATTTTGTCATTGTTTACATGTTCAGTCCATGGTATTCTCAGCATCCTTCTGTAGAAGCACATTTACATTGTCTCAAGTCTCCTATTCATATGTGAAGGAATTGTCCAGCATTCACTGCCATACTGGAGGATTGATATTACATGACAGTTTAGCACATTTTTTGTTTCAAAAGAATTTCCTGTTTTTTTTTTTTAATACTTTTAGCTTTTGAAAATCTGTTTTCAGTATTCCAATGCACCTTTGGATTTCAGATTCACATTTTCTGTTACAAATTTGTATCATTCAAGCAAACAAATTGTCACAAAAGAATTTCTTCCCTGCTTTCCAAAATCATTTGATCCAAAAATCACATTAATAAATTAAAGTGTAACACCAGCTTTGGAAACTTGTTAGGGTAAATAAATCTTTAATTTTTTTACTCTTTTTTTTTTTTTTTGTTTCAACAGCTTCCAATATATGATCCACTGCCAGCCAAAGAAAAATACGAGTTTGTACCAAGTGAACCAAATACATTGGAAAAGGGCATTGGATCAGTTCGCAAATTTGTTATAGAATACAAAGAATCCATTGAGGTAATTTTTTTTTTTAATTAGTATCTGTTATGTAGGAATAAATTGTCACTGCCAACACTGGAGTTTGAACACAGATCACCAGAGAGCAAACACAGGTGATCCCATTTTGAATAAGTAGATCATGTGATGGTAATATATATGGGAATTAGCGTGGTATCTAAGTGATCACTATTCAAGTGAGTATTATCGAGCAAGTACTATTAGTGCAAGTGTTATTTGAAGGCGTCTGACACCAGTTTTGTTCAACGGTGTTACTATAGTTGTATCTGTGATAACAAAGTCTCTACTACAACGAGCATTCGTTGACATTACGTAAGTGACAACAAGTGTTCATTGACATCACAAAAGTACCTCACTTCCAATTATATAAAAAAAAAATTATCCAATACATATAGGTGAACAAATTCAAATACGTTTGTCATGATTTAACATCTTTTAAGGAAAAGATTAATTTACGAAAATAAAATTCAATTTTAGAATCTGGTCTCCTGGAGAGTGAGTGCAATTCTACAAAACTAGAAACAAGATAAAAGAACATTTTAATTTTATTTATTATTAAGTAGATATATTTATTGTAGGTGTACGTTGCAGTTCTCGGAAGTGAGACAGGACAACACTTTGATTTTTGACAGATCACACAATTACACAGATACTCATTAGAGTATAGACTGACAATGTCGCTGGAATGGATTGGAAGATCATTCACAGAGACTTAGATATTGGCATACAACTGAGACATTGGAGGGAGCTGGTCAAGTGATCACAGTGACTCTACAACCACACCCATTCATGGGACTGATGATAACATTTCTGGGCATATAGGAATCAGATGTTTATAATTTCTGTTTATGGTGGCAGTGGGAGCATTTTAAATGAAAATTTCTCAATATAATTTTAATATAATAGAACACTGAAATTTTTAATTTTCTCTTTCTTTGTTCATAAAGACCTTGAATTACAAACATTTGAAATCCTTACTGTAAAAATCTATCTTTGTCATGTTTTTAAATTTTTCTTGTTTACTTTCTGCTTTCAGGGTGTTGTTGATAAAGTCACCCACAAATGGGAAGTGTCCAAGGCCCACACAATGAGTGAGTGCCTCTTGATTTCTTGTTGGTTAAAAGAATTTCACATTGTTAACAAATTCTTTTAAAAGGAAAGATCCCAAAAATTTTTATGGCAGTGGGGTGGGGGGTGGATTGGAATGGGGTTAATTTTCAAGACGCTTTAGCTAACTTAAAGAAAGCAAATGAAGCTAAATACTAAGATTAATTTTTGTGGCTTACAGCTAGATCACATTGAAACACTGGTTCATATATGATCACTGAAGTTAAGCAATGACAAGCCTGGTTGGTACCTAAATGGGTGACTACATTGGAATACCAGCTTGGATGTGTGGGCAGTATAATGGAACTGGAAATCAAAGAGCTAAATTCCAAAATCCAGTCAGGTTTGTTATATTCACTGATGTGCAAATACCTTTGGGAAAAGGTATGAATCCACCTCTTCTTCCCCTAGCTATGGGTTAATTAGTAGGACTTGTATCAGTAAATCATTATTATCTCCAAAAAATTCATACAATCTAAAAAAATTTTCTGGCTTTGAATAATCTGTAAAAGGTTGATAAGCCATAAAAAACAAATCAATCAAATTTTAATATTCTGCATTTTTTTCTCTGTTTATATTCACAAAACCAGTTTCAAATATTTTCTTCTTTGTCAAGCCACTTTTCTTGTTTATTACTTTTTAATTTTCTCGGATCCATTTTTGCTTACGGCCACATCACATTGAAACATCGGTTCCCCATATAATCACTGAAGTTAAGCAATGTCAAACCTGGGCATTACCTAGATGGGTGACCACTTGGGTATACCAGGTATAAGCTTGGATGTGAGGGTAGTGTAATGGATAATGGCTCAGAATTGTTGACCAGAGTGGAGTTCCAATTCCAGTTGGGTTTGTTGTATTCACTTACACGCAAATACCCTTGGGAAACGTATGAATCCACCTCAAGTTATGTGTTTATTAGGAAGATTTGTATCTCTAAAACTATTATTTTAAAAAAAGAAATAAAATTGCGTACAAAATATTTAGATTTCAGCATTAAGTAATCCATAGATGTCGAGATGCCACTAAACAAAAACAACCAATCAAATCAAAGTAGCTGAACAAATGGTAATAGCAACTACAAAAAATGCCTGCAATAGGATAGATGTAGCACAACTCCATTCTGTTTGGATATCTTTGCTCCAAAGAAAAATATACAGAGATAAATTTTTTTTTTTTTTTTTTTTTTTTTATGCCTTGACTTTGCTATTATGTTGTAAACGTCATCAACTCAGTTTGCTTTCCTTGATTTGAATTTTTAAGCATTTCAAACTTCTTTGTACTGTTTTACTCAAATTAAGGAGTGACCGAGACTGGCAAACTGTTAGCCAAAATATTTCGATAAAAAAATAAATCATTCGTTGGAATTACAAGTTTTTTTCTTTCTTTTAATTATGCAATTACCAACGGAGACAAGCATCCAAACTTAAAATTAAATCTCTTTTTGTGAGATTCTGAAAGTTAATTGTTTTTTGTCTTATTTTTTTTTTTTTGTTCTTGTCTTGCCAATGTTTTCACATCCTTTCCTTAATTGTTCCCTGATTCACATTTTGCATCTTCCAATGTCTTCTCTTCATATAAAATTTAAAAAACAAACTATATATTCAATATGAACAACCCTCATGTTGCATAATAAATCTCACACCACCAAATAAATTACTTATTATATTGTAGTGATTTTTCCAAACGTAGCTTAGATGTGGCACAAGGCCAAAAGTATGGGCCACCTAGTGTTGTGGAGTAGTTTTCACAGTGGAGGCTTGTATTTCACTAAGTCGTCCTAAATTAGGTTCGACGTACAAAACGTTAGGAACTTGAAATAAGAGTTAATGACGCAGCAATCTAGTTGTGATGGTTGGTACTTCAATGTCCGACATCAACTGACTCACTCAGCACCACTGAACCCAACTGGCCACTGCTACTACTACTTATTATCTGTGGGAGAGTCTGTTATAAAAGAATAGGTATTATGGTATAACACCTAGTGAGGGTCAAACTCACTATTCAGTCGTAATTGATCTAGCGAGACAAGCTTGCTAACCATTACACCACCTCAAGGTGCCCAAAGTAAATAGAGATTATAATGTGATATCTATATTGTATATTTATTATATAAATCTAACTATACCTGGAAAATTTTTGCCAAAATCAACTGGTTAATATTAAATGTGAAAATATTGACTTGCAAAATAAACTGTGTGTGCAAAATATATTATGGAATTTTACTCTATTTCTTTTTCCTTTCTTCCCAGGTTTAATTGATTATATCCAAAATGATCCCAATGTCTTACCACGTCTCGGAGTTATCACAGTTGCTGGTTTGGGAGGAGTTGTGGCTGGATATAAACGTAAGTTATTGTGGTTTTATTTTTTATTTGCTTTATTCAATTCATTTTTTTTTTTTAATAACCAATTTCCTATGTTTATTCATTTGTGTGTGTGCATTTTGGCTACAAGCCTCTGGTCTAGTTTGAGAATTGACTTTTTTAACTGTAACTACACACATCAGGGAATACCCTAAGAAACTCTTTCCATGCAGCAGTTGGTAGTCCAGAACATGTGTGCAGTATCAAAAACTTTGCCCTTAAGTTTTAAAACTTTAAATTAACTGTTGATTGGGATAAACTTGGAAAATATAAACCTGCAAGAGAAGCATTTGTCTGAAAATCAAATATGATTAAGTTGTTTTTATTGATAAAAATCATAAAAAAATGATCCCATCTCACAAATTTTAACAAAATCTGAAAAAAAAATCCCTGATCCTTTGTTCCTTAATCTAGACTTCCATAAAATAGCATTGAAAATTTGTGAGAACTTCTGAAATATATTGTGTGAACAGACACAGGTGTATACATAACGTCTGTCTACCTTCTTTGGCAGAGCCAATCAGCGCCACTTGTTGGTTCATTAAACAGTTATCATCTCTGGGTATGATCTTTCCAAATTATTTTCATTCTTATAAATAACATTATATCTACACATCTTCTATGTATATACATATAATGTAAGTATTTTTTTTTTTTTAAATATGTCCCTTGCCTTTCAAATGTTAGATATTAATTTTAAATGGCCAGTTAAGTTGTCAGACAGAATGATAGTGCTCCAGTCTTTCTTCTCATCATTACCTCTGATCAATAGGAAGCCAAAATTAACATTGACAGGACATAGAAATAAGAATGCAATTTATTTGGGCAGATTAACTTAGAGAGGGATAGCGCCACATCCACCAAGGGCTGAGTTTGTGATCAACATATTTTTCCTATTGTTTGGTGATTGGAATGTCGAACTGAACCCTTTATTTCGCTCACTGGGGTAGATTGTTCGAGTTCCATGTGCCATGTCTAATGGATGTCAGCTATCAGGAGAACTTTACCTGTCTATATTTCTGTGATGAGGTATTATGTACACTATTTACATTATTCGGACTATTGTCCTCATCTTTGTTGCCATATTTATCACAACGTTTCAGCCGTTTTACGCTTCGGCCTTCAGGTGGTTGGAATGTCGAACTGAACCCTTTATTTTGCTCACTAGAGTAGACTGTTCTAGTTCTACATGCCATGTTTAATGAATGTCAGTTATCTCCTGTTAATTCCCCTCTCCAAGTTCTCCACCGCCTTAACTGGGTATTAAACTCACACACTTTGGGTCCTGTCACTGGATCTAACCAACGCCTTTATCCACAGTGCAATGTGTAAGTGAAATAAAGGGTTCAGTTCAACATTCCAACCACCTGAAGAAGGCCAGAGACAAGCATCCTAACGTTAAATTAAATCTCTTTTTGTGAGATTCTGAAAGAATTTTTGTGTAAAATATGGTGACTAACATGAGGACAATAGCCCGAATAATGTAAATAGTGTACATAATACCTCATCTCAAAAATATAGACAGATACTGAAGGATGGTTATTCCTTTGAAAACACTTTTACGGTTCACACTTTTGCATCCCTCGGCAGTGTTTATTTTAAAAAAGCAATGATTAGAATTTTAATAAAACCCAAATATATGAAAATGAATTTATATATTTTCTTTATTTTTGAGAACTAAGAAATGATATTAAACACTATTAATTTGCCTATTTACAATAATAATTTTATATTTACAAGATTATAAAAAATGTCAACCAAGTAATGAAATATTTATTATTTGCTATTTTATAAAGTAATAAATGTCAAAAGAAAATTTTTAGTCATAAAATTATAAAAAAAAATGTCTGAACAAGAAAATTTAAATAAACACATGACAACGAGTAACTGTAATTATAAATTTTGAAAAAAAATACATTTTCCGAGCATTTCTTTCATTTCCTCTCAGTGCATAAATTCAATAAAATAGGTTAAGAGCGTCACTTCCTTTGAACCAAACGTTCTTTTAATTTTAGATTTTAGGCGAGACCACAGACACTCGATATTTTGATTGTATCTTCCTATTCATTAGATGGACGAGTTTTTCCTTATGTTTATTTATAGAATGTTTGTAATTTTTACCACAAATATCACATTGTTACTGGTTTACATATTTTAATTTTGTAATTTTTTTTTTTTTTATAAATTCTTGAATAAAAGGTTTCTTTTCAAATTTATTTCTTTATAAAATTGTAAATAATAAATATAGCATTGTGTTTAGTTCATATATTTTTATAATCATGTAAATAAACTCTGTGAAGGATACAAAAAGTATATAGCAGTATCAAGGGAATGATTGCTCTTTTGACACACTATTTTTTTTGTGGACATTGCTGAGAGATTTTTCTGTAAATCTTATCTGCCTTGTGGTTGGGGAGAGAAGACAGTTTCACATGTATTTTCATTTATGGTCATTTTTCTCAAGTGTGTCTCTTTCTTGGGCTAGCTGCCTTCTGTTCAATCTGATTAACATGATGTGTTAGGGCTGTGGAGTTGGAACAGAAAACATTTGACTCCTCTTTAATTAATTAAGTAATTATGGTCTACAAATCTCATAAAGCCTATGCATACATGCCTAACTTGAGTCGGCCTATATCATTATAACTGGCTTATATCAAAGATATTGTGGCTTTTATATCATACTTATTCATTCTTCAATATTTTCTAACAGAATTAGACAAAATCTTTGAAAGGATATAGAAAAAATAAAAATGCTATAATGTAAGACTTATATACATCTTTGCAAATAAGAAGTACAGAACAAAAATAAAACTATTTTATAATATAAATTGAAATACAATTTTTTACATGATGTAAAAGACATAACAAAAATAAAAATTCTATAATATAAGATTTTTTTTACATATATAATTTTGCAAATCCAAACTAACGACAAAAATAAAATGACTTTAAAAAAGAAGTTGAAATGAATTTCTTTAAAAAAAACAGTAAATCTACAGTAGAAGAAATAACCATAAAAATTCTATAAGACTTTTTACATAGTGTAAATTTAACTGGAGTTGGTATAGTTTTACTGCCTCCGATGACCCTTTAATTGCTTCTGACTTTGACTCCACAGCCCCGGTTAGCCAGCCTTAAAACAGCCCCATATTATCTTCAACCTCAGAAAAAGAAGTCATTAACACAGAAGTGAAATAACTAACTTTGGAGACAAATGAATTTTTTTTTTTTTTGCATCTCTTTTTGCAATTAAAGTAACTAATAGTACTTGTGAAAATTTTACAGCTTTTGTATTTGAATTTTTTGTTGAATCATAATTCTTAAGTTAACAATTGAAAAGTTTCCAAGACTATAAAATACCCATGGAAATTCCACTGTTGCATCTTTAAGTATTTAAGGTTACCAAGTTTAACAAAATATTGGAATAATAATCATAAGAATAAATGCAGATCATTATTTAAAGAAGTAAGAGGGTACAAATGAAAAGATTTATAATTGACAAGGATTCCCATTTCATTGAACTAAACGTTAAACACACAAGAGCATTATCACCATCTTTATCTTCTTTCTTTCATTTTCTCATTGAAACTAAACAGTTTCTGAATTATCTTTTTCATCTTTCCTTACAATCAAAATAGCATAGTCCATTATTTATGAAGTATTGAGGGGGGCGGTCAACATATGTATTAAGGAACAAGCAGAATTATATGATGATGATGATTTTCTTTTCTCCATTTTCAAAAACCTTAAAAATATTTATAACAAAATTTTGTTGATAACATGTACAGGTTGTATACCATCAACTTTCTGGCATTCCTGGTTCGAGAATAGCGTTGGGTTATCCAATAGAAGATGTAAGAAGAACTCAATAATACACCAATGTTAACTTCTACCAGTTCAGACTATTACTGCTAATTTTAATGGAGAGTTAACTGTGCTTTCTGAATTACAAGTTATCTTTCTTGGACTTTCTTAGAACAAAAGTTCAAAGTATTTTTCCGTAAGTGACATTGAACACTTGATTTCATTTCACACGTGATTGAAATTGATGTTGAAATATCACTATTCAGAATGTCTTTTTATATGATTTGTATGTGGGTTGTGAAATTTTACATATTTTTGTATTAAAAGTATAAATGGAGAAAAAATGAGATTAACTTCTTTTTTTTTTTTATTTCCAGAAAGAAAAAAAAAACACTTTACAAAAAAAAAAAAAAAAAAAAAAAGTATATGCCATTTATGGAAATACTGTTTGTTTGAAAGTGTTTCACTAAGTTCAGAATTAGAAGTTTTGATCCATAAAAGCAAGAATTTAACATTTATTAAATGGTTTACATGTTTTCTCTGTGCACAAGATTTGGAAACTAATTTCATGACATAGTAACTTTAAATAAACCCTGTCTTTATCTCTTATTCTATTTGTCTGTTTTCAACAAAATCTTGTTTGTGTTGGGGGAGGGGGTATGACAATGACCCTGATGGATTTTTAAATTGACTGATTTGTAAATTCTTTATATTTTGTAATTAAAAAATCAACTTGTTCTTGCAGGTGGTTTTGGCAGGAAGTTGACCTACAGTGCCATTGGTCTAACATCTGCTGCTTGCTTGTGTTACCCAAATGAAGTTTCAAAGGCTACTAAATTTTCTGCTGGAGTTGTAGCCAACCAAAGCAAAAAGTTGTGGCATTCAATCACGACCCCAAGTAAGTACCATAAGGTCAAACAGACAGATCAGATTTTTTGTGTACAGTATTTTTCTTATAAAATCTTCCAAGTATATAGATTAATTACATATGGTCAGCATTGGTATAATAACGGTTCTAAAGTCCAGACCTGACTGACTGACTGGATATAGCAGTGACATGTTGTATGAATAAATCTTTTGGACAAACATGTATAAACATATAAGATGGAGTGCCAAAAAGACAATTTTTCCCATGGCACTGCTTCTTTTAACAACCTTCACTTTTCAGCAATGTTCAAATCCTGTCAAAGAACGAATATTTTCTATGAAAATTTCTCGGACATTCAGGCCGGTAAATGTTATTTAATACTGTTTATCATAAACAGAGCATTTGCTTAAATACTTGTATCTATAAAATAACGTTAAACATAAAAATGTCTTTAATAAATAAATTGTTGGACCTTGTCCATTTCTTAATATATTTTCCTTGTTATTGAGAATTTACAACACCATTTATTAGATTGTTTATTTACTTTATTATTTATTGAAATGGTTAGCAAAACATCGGCTCATTGCCAATCGATTCAAACTTTATAAAATAGTAAATAAGGACTTCTTTTATAGTTGATTCACATATTTTAATAATTTAGTGAATTTTTATAAATTTATGAATAAAAAATTATTTTCACATTTATTTCTTCATAAATATTACATTGCATTAGTTTTAAGGATGTTGTAAATAAACAATCTAATAAATAAATAGTGTTTAATATTTTTGTTGTAAATTTGCAAGAAAGAAAAAATTATAAATTCACTTTTATCAAATGTTTAGGTTTTATTCCAATTCTAATAATTGCCTTTTAAAGCAATAAACATTGCCAAAGAGTGAAGGTAGTTTTTAAAAAAAAAATGGTATCATGGGAAAAACCATTGTTTTGATACTCTGTCTTATTGTGGGCACATTTAGCAATGCTTGCAGTTTTTTTCTGTTTTGCAACCTGCAAATAGGTATACAGTTCATGCTTTTCTCAAGGCCAACTGGAACTGGGATTTAAAAATAAACTGACTGGATTTTTTTTTTGTGTGTGTGTGACCATCATTTGTTATTGTGAAGAATATTAATGTTATCAGTTACAATGGAGAATTTAGAAACAGAACTAATATAGCAATCCCCTTTTTGCTTTTTGTCCCGTAGACACCACTAAGCGGTATGGGATACTGTTTTTCTCTTACTTGTTCCCAAGTGGTCACCCATTTAAGTACTAACCTTACTAAACACTTCATGTAAGCAATGTAGCAAAGTTCAAAATGAAAAAAAAATAATCAATTTTAAAACAGTTTAATTGTATTTAATACAAAAAAAAAAAAAACTTTGGCTAGACAGGTCCTTCAGTCAAATTCAATGAATTCTGTTTGACTAAATTCTGGCAGCTCAAGTATCCATTATACACAAGGGGGAGGGTTATACTGAAACTCACATCCCCAAATTTGTAAAAACAGAATTTTTTGAAAGGGTTCCTTGTTTGAACTGAGAACTTTTCAGCCCCTACCCTTAATTTATATAAAATAGTTTTTTAAAGTATGCACACAAGCAATAAAGGGTTGAGTAAACTGTAATAACACTTCAAAGATTTCCCTAAGATTGTTTCAAGAACCTTTGCATCAACCTTATGTTTGTATATTCCTGCTGGATGATGAACAAGCAGGGATAAGTTTATAAAATTATTTTTTTGTTCAAATTTAAATGTTGTATAAAGGTATGTCATATATAGAATGGTTTTGATACGTATTTTAAATATTAATGCACCTATATATTTAATGTCAGGTGTTTCTTTTGCATAATACCAGTTTTGAATATTTTCAGACTTTGCAGCATTTACTGTAAAGAATTTTGATATTATCAACTAATATTTGGTATTTTTTATTATGATCTGATGTTTGATTATCTGCACATATTGCACTGTGTTTTAATAAATGATGTTAGTCTATGAGAGAATGTAACCATTGTAAGACTTTAATACTGTTTCTTTTTTATTAGTATTTAGTTTTACAATTCATGCAGGTATTGATTATCACATCACAAATAACTGAAATACAACTTAGCACTCACTGTAAAAGTATCAAAATATTTTATTTGAAGCTAATTTTATACAAAAATGAAACAACCTACATTAAAAAAGGACATTTTAAAAGATATAATACAGTTGTTTTTTAATGAAACCATTCACATATTTAAATTTAAAATGTAACATTCTAAAAAATACCAGAATCTATTGAATCTCAATACAAACATTTTATTTTTTTTAATAATGACAAAATGACTCCAACAAAAATACTGAACAGTTTATTCACAATTTTAATTTGGATGTGCATCATATTTGAAAAAATGAAATATTTTATTAGGTAACTTTTAAGGTTTCAATAAAATACTTTATCCAGATTTCATTTTTAAAAAGAAAAAAATTAAAAAAAAAATAATTGTCTTTTTCTTTTTTTTTCCTGCCAGGTGTTGCTGAACCAGAATTACCAAAAACTGAAGAAAAGCCAGTTTCTGACCCCGTGAAAAAAGTAACACTCAAGGTAAAGAAATTTGTGCCTTTTTTGTAAAAGTTGTTCTGGAAACCCCTCCCTCCCACACAGCCTAAGGTTGAGGTTTATTGGGTTTAATGGCAATATAAACCCAATCCCCTTCAAAAGGGGAGGACCTGCCTGGGGGAAGGACCCCTGGGGCTTAGGCTTAATATTTTTTTTTTTTACTTCCATGGCATGTGCCATCCTAAATTAGAAGTAGATAGCAAAAACATAAAATAACTGTTGCAGAGTAAATTGTACACCCTCAGTGACTATATGAACGAGCTATAACGAGCTCCAGGTCAGAGGTAAGACTGGTAGCCATTTGAAGTCTGTCTTCAGACTAATACAGGCATCCTGGCAAGTCACCGAAGCATTACATATATAATGTACTTCGTATAAGGATTCTCTATACGTAAGAGTGTGTTATAACAACGAAGGATTCAAAACTCTGGATTTATAACTGTTGTGACAAGGATTCGGAACTCTTATGATTTCTGACAGTAACAGGGATTCAGGAATTCATATGAATCGTAATTGGAAGAATTTCAACCACATTGGTTTTTGAAAAAAAAACATTCTTGCAAATATGGAGAAAATTTCGGCTTCCATAGTTGAAATTCAACAACAAAATCAACAATTGCTAGTAAAAAAAAAAAACAGCAACGGTGTTGTTGGATATAATTCTGAAGAAAACAGAAAAATTCTTCAATGTCTCTTACGTCAGATGCTGTCCAAAATGCCATATCAGAATTTATATACAATCCTGATGAGGGGCTGACTTTTTCTGCATATTTTTGTACATACAAACAAATATTCAGACAGGAACACAGTGGTTGGGAAGATGAGGCAAAAAACGAGATTGTCGTTGAAGAAAATAGTTCCGATAGTAAAATGTAATTGCAGTATTTTTTCATACTCTGAGAAAACCAGGTGAAATCAGGTTTGAAGACACGGTACACATTTTGATGAAAATCTTTAGTGACAAGAGCCCTCTGTTTGATGTTCATTGAAGATGCTTGAATCTAAACATAAAAGAGAAGACAAAGACATTGTCACATATGGTGGTAGCATCAGCAAAGAATGTGAAAGGTTTAGAATAAACAAAATGAGTCCAGATGTATTCAAAGGATTAATTTTCACGCAAGGTTTAACAGCTAAAAAAGAAACTGAAAATATAAGGAAAAATCTTAACAAAAATTGAATGAAACAATATTACACTTCAAGAAATAGTGACTGATTGTCAGACAATGCTAAATCTGAAACACGATGCTCAAGAAATTCAGAAAAAAAAAAAAAAAAAATGTGCATTGATACAAACAAAGGACAAATGTACAAAAAGGAAAATAAACCCTTGTTTCAAATCTGGTAATTTATATCTTGGGAAAGACTCTATATATATATATATATATGTGTGTGTCACATGTAATAAGAGCAAAAAGAATATAAATTCAAACGTTTAAAGCATTAATTCAAAAGAGGGCTCAATACCAGTAGTAGAACTGTAGTTATTTATGAAATTTTTTTTTTAACATACGGACAACAAAGATGCATTTTTGTTTTTGTCCGTATGTAAAAAGTTTTATTATATATGCACATATATTGTTAATATAACAGACAATGAATATCTTATGTTTGATCATGAACCATTCTAAAACTTTGTATGGTTGCTTTAAATTCAGGTGAAAATAAAGACAAAAAGTTGTCCAACATTTGGATATTTTTTATTAAGCTAGTCCTTCATCTAAACATCTATACATATGCTTCTGTTATTAATATTTTGGTCTCATGTGTTATCAACATCACACCATGAATTTATGACCTGCATTTGCTATTATGCGACTGTTATTGCACAGCAATCTTCTATGTCAAAATAACAGAATATCATCTTTGATGGTGAATATCCTTGTTCAAATTTCCATATAACCCTTCTGAAAATGGCTCATGTGAACCGAAAGCTTAGATCAAGGAACAGCATAATAAAACATATCTAAATGTTGGACAACTTTTGTTTTATTTTCTCCTGAAATTAAAGCAACTATACGAAGCTTAGAACGGCTCATGATCAAACATAATAGACATTCATTGTCTGTTATATTTAACAATATATGTTTAAATAATGACCTGCTACCCCAAAACACTATATATATATATATATATATATATATATATATATATATATATATATAGGGAAAACTTGTCTTAGCTTTTGTCTTTATCCATCTTGTCCTTTTACATATGTGCACCACATTGGATCACAAAAGAACTACTTTGAAGTATAATAGCAAGAAATTTTTTTCCGAGTCAAATTCCTTGAACTTTTGGACTAAACTTTGTTTCTACTTACCATAGACATTATAATGGTGTTTATCTTGCAACCTATTGGCAGTGAACTTTTCTTGTTAATTGCTATAGAAACAGTTTTGTGCAACAGCTTCGTTTCTGTTATTGCTTGACTGCCATTTTGATTTCAGGTAAAATTGTTGTTTTTTTGTTTCTTTTTATAGCCACAAGCCGATCCACCGAAAGACTTTGGTCAAAGTTCCAAAGAGGATGATGATCTCTATACCACCCGAGGCTGAGGCCAACAGCAGCTTTTTTTTCGATATTTATCTTCTGAACAGTTTTGTAAATAGTTGAGGAGCCTGGCTTCTTTAGTCCTGCTGTTCTCTTCTCTACTCTACAATTAGCAGAAGAATAAAAAGGCAGAAAATAAAAATGTAAAGTGAAATATTATTAAAATACCTCTAAATTCTTTGGGCTTGTCATCTCTTTCAATTTCTCATTTCTTAAACACCAAAGATCAATGCTTGGACACCAGAAATTCTTTTTTCAATCTTCCAAATAAATGTTCTTGCATTGTCTTATGACAAGAGTTCAAAACACAGGGCAGTAATAATGTCCCATTCCTGACATCTTGTGGCTTATGGCTATATCACAGTGAAATGTCACTTCTTGTCCCATCGCTAAAGTTAAGCAATGTCATGCCTGGTTAGCACTGTTACTGCTTGGGAATACCTGGTGCTGTAAGTTTGTATGCGCAGGTGGTGTCATGAATTTCAGCTTGACGTGAGAAACTGGAAAGCTGAGTCAGTTCGTTACATTCCTTTATGTGTAAATATCCCTGTGAAAGATATGAATCCGCCTCTTTTCCTTCCAGCTATGAGTTAAATAGTAAGATTTTTTTTTTTTTAATCATTATCTCAAAAGTAATTCTTACAATCTGTTGTGGCCTGTTAGGAGGCCAGAAAGAAAGACACGGAAGAAGGTAGGTTGAACAAGTGTATTGAAATAACCAGAACTTATATACAAAATAAGAGTGTTATTAGCAGATAAAGGTGTCCGTCTGAACTGTCAGGTTACACTGTGTCCCGACTGCCTCACACAGGAAGTCTCGCAGGTCAGTATTTATGAAAGAGGAAGAGTTCATTCTAATGTAGACAGGTCACCATAACACAATCAAAAAATATTTTCTGGCTTTAAATAACCTGCAAAAAGGTTGATAAACTGTAAAAAAAAAAAAGTATCTATCACTCCATCCTGGTATCTTGTATTTTCACCAGGCAAGAAGACGACATTATTATTTTTAGCTTTCAAAATTTTCTTTTTGTGATAAGTTTCCTTCACGTTCTTGATGTCATTATAACATTTCAGCCTATTTATTCATTGTTTTTTAAAACAATATAAGTTAAAATAATAAATGTTGTTGCCATTGTCCACACTGGCAAGGTTCTTCAACCATTAACACCCCATTCAAAAAAACTCTTCTACCTTTTCTTACACACACACACACACACACACACACACAGCAAAGATGCAAATGACAACAGCATCCCATATCTGCTGTTCTGTTCTTATTTCATATCCAAGGGATACAAATTAGTCAGCACAACTCCTGCTATTTAAATGTGTCTATAAGTGCCACCAGTGCTAAAATCAGTCCTGGTTTCCTCAAATAGACACTCCAACAACCCATCTGGTCGCAAATAAACAAGGGAAAAACCAATTCATTACCTCCACACCAGCAACACTCTCTTTAAAGTCTCCTTCTCTATTGGCTCATTTCTCTCCCACAAAAGAAGAACCATTATTTAACATGTTGACTGCTGGAAGTCAATGACAAAATCTGACTTCAAATGCCAACTTCATAATAGCCAACTTAGGCAATAAAAAATTTTTATGAGTTGATTTATAGCTTCAACTGAAGTCTTAACATTGTTTTCACTCTGATAGTATCACTTTGAATAAACTTGTTTGCATTTGCAAGTGAAAATGTATCTGAAAAATGCCAAGATAACTTGGTCAGCAGTCAAATATTTAAATTTTCCAAATGGGTGTCAAATTGAAAACTGGATCAGCAAAAATATGTTGATGACATCAAGAACATAAAGTAGACCTTCAATTGATCAAACAAAATGTGTAATGTTAATAAAAGCTGAGTAACAGTGGCTTTAATTATACAAAGTGCTGACAAAAAGCCGAAGACTAACCATTTAAAAAAAAAAAAAAAAAACACTTACCTGACCATCTAGTTTCCATGTCTTCTTCAAAATTGTCCTTTGCTTGCTGCTCACAAAGAATAATGGCAAAAAGCCCATACATTTGATTGAAACATAATTCCAATTCTCTAACTTTTCAATAGCACCTTATATAATAAGTATTTCATCAAATGTACATACAAATATTTAAAAAAATATAATACCCAGCTACATATTTCCAAACACATCCACTTGCTAGGGTGGCTAACCAATCCTTGTTGCAGACACCTGCTCAGGCCCATTTGAGTTTATTCAACACTCATACAGCCAACCTGTTATACTGCATGGACCTTAGTTAAAGTTTCTGGAAAAGAGCATATAATTTGCCAAGATCAACAGTTCAAACAAAGCCAGTATGCTCAAACCCTTGGCCACAATGACTTCTGCTAACACAACCCTCAATGGATTTGTAAATATCTGCTGAGCAATATACATATAGCCCCTTCTATGGTTTCTACTACCATCTCTAATCTGGATCCCCACAAAGCAGATTGACTTGATGGTATCCATGTAATAGTCCGTAAGAAATGTGTTCCAAAACTGGCTCTTGTTCTCTCTAAACTATATAATAAATGTTTCACTGCCTGTTGGAAATCCTATTCTGTTATTCCAGGATTTAAAAACTCTGGTAAACTGTCCAACTATCAGCTGATTAGCCTACTATCTCTCTTTGGGAAACTACTACAGGCCCTCATCAATGCTGGATCATTTAAGCATCTCACATAGCAGGGCCTTCTTTCAGACAAGCAATGGCTTGTGTTTCTCTAGGTCAACAGATGCATTGACAATAATTGCAGAAAGAGCCTATGAAATTCTAGATAAGAATGGTGAAGCTTAGACTACTGCTTTGAATATCCCAAAAACTTTTGACAGAGTTTGGCATACAGGACTTCTTCACAAGTTGAAAAGTTACAATGTCTCCAGACAAATTTTTGAACTGATCCAGTCAATGCTGGTGTGCCCCAGGGCTCTATCCTGGGACCTACTTTGTTCTTAATTTTCATTAACAACCTTCCCAATGGCATCAGCTCTCAACTAGGTATCTATGCTGATGGCACATTCATTTACTCCTGACTCAATAGTAAGTTTAATCAGTTCAATAAGGTCAAATTGGTGACTGATAACAAAAACAATCTTCAGTCTGTTATTAACTGGGATGAAGAATGGCTTGGTAATTTTAACGCCTCCAAAACAAAACAATTCTCTATTAATCATTTCAGACACACGTTTCTGCCTTCCATCAACATGGCTGATGCTAACCTCCTATTGAATCCATTGCTAGATCAGCTGCTAAGAAAGTTGGTTCACTGTGTCGTTCAAGACAATTTTTCTCTCCAGAATCTATCTTACATATCTATAAGTCTACCATTCATCCATGCTTTGAATACTACTGCTTCATACATGGTCCAGTACTCCTGCTATATATTTAGAGATCCTTGATAAAATCCAAAGAATCAACAATATCTTTATCTGGCATCTCAACTTCAGTCACTTTCCCACTGCCATAAAGTTGCCTCCCTGTGCCTTTTGTATTGATACTTTCATGGCAATTGTTCAGATAAGCTCTTCACTATGGTACCTCAAGGCCAGTTCTGTCTGTAGTAGTGTGGTACTGCTGCTGCTGAAGGCTGAACACTGTGTTCTTTTGCTTACTAGGGGTTATGAGAGTCGTGATTTGGATGACACATCAAAAATGATTCGGTGGGTGGGGACGAGAATTTCACTTCTTCCCAAATGATCTTGTACTTTAAGCATCAGCTTAAAGTCAAGATTAGGACAGAAGGACAGCAGCTCTCTACATCAGAATTTGGCAAAAGATGGGTGAGTCTTGTGCAATTGTTTCGAGTAAGAGGGGCTGATTTAGAGTGGCATTTTGATGCCGGTTAGGCAATAGGATACTGCCCTAACTTTAATGAACTTCGGCAACCCCACCCAAAATTAGGTTAGTTTAGGGTTGTTTTTGTGTCCTTAGTTTCTTGATTCCAGTTAGCTAAGATATGTATGCTCATTGGGCCCTTTAATTTCTGTTCCCATTTTCTTTAGTTTAATTCCCCATCTTCTCCCTCGTTAGGTGATCAGTGATATCAGTTCTTTGATGGATGTGGGACGTCTTTCATTTTGGGTGTGATTTCTGTATTTGTTGTTGTGTTTGAGTGAGTGCTTTGGATGAATAAATATTATTAAAGTCACACATTGATTTCATTCAGTTAACTGATATTTCTGCCACATTTATGGATTATGGAGAGCATTATTACTAATATTTTGTTTAGTTTTGTAAATAGTTTTGTTCATTTTTGTAAATATTCATTGGGGTTAGATTTTAAAATGTTGTTTTATACCCCCCTCCACCCACAGACAATGAATTTTACATATGGGGTTTAGTTCGGATTTTCATAGAGACAATGAGGTATTATGGTGAATGTAGTAAGAAAGGTAAGTAAGAAAGGTAAGTAAGAAAACATTTTGGTGTAAGGAATATTGTGGTATGTTTGGGTCAGTGTTTGTATCTAGCTAAGTTTAATGTTAAAAAAGAAGAAGACCATCCTTCCCCCCCCATCTCGGCCTTGTGCCACGTTTTCTGTACTTAACAGAGATAAATATTGTTCCTATGGTACCTAAAACTTCATGAATTTAAGTGCAGTACTAGACTGGCAATGAGGTCTCATCAATTTACAATTGAGTTGGCTAGACCATAAGTTCTATGTTAACAGTTTCTTTTCTCACACTTCTTGCTTGTGGAACTCCCTTCCAGCTCCATGCTTTCCAATCAACTTTAATCTTCAAAAATTTAAATGCAGACTCACCCACCTTTTGCCAAATTTCGATGGAGGGAGCCGCTGCCTTTCCATCCTAATCTTGACTTTAAGCTGATGCTTAAAGTAAAAGATCATTTGGGAAGAAGTGAAATTCTCATTCCCATAGAATCCCTTCTGACTTGTCATCCAAATCACAACTCTCATAACATCGAGCAAGCAAAAGAACACAGTGTTAAGCCTTCGTCAATGGCGGTACTACATTGCTACAGACAGAACTAGGCCCGACGT